GCTGAAATTTGTAACTTTTAAAATCTTCTATATTTCAAGGTTGTTACTTTTAGTTTCGTTTAAGCGTATATCGCTTAATGAAATCACTGAGGTCGTTCACTCGCCAAGGGGACTGTCCTCGCTATGGTTTAACACGCGCAAAGACGATACATATTTATCAAGACACTGTAAGCGAATTCCTTTCGTCTGTTCTACGTTTTCATCGGTGTGTAAACGGTTCTACTTACCAGTAACGCAATGTGCGGCATCACCACTTCATCTTCTTCAGTGCCATTACTCATTTCCGGTATGTAAGTCAACGGATGATGTAGAATTGCCGTCACAGTGCCGTTGTCGTTGAAGTGGACGTCTTTGTGTTCGAAAGCTTCCCTGCAATTATATTGTACATATTTTTCTCACATAGTTCTGCAAAAATTAAGTAAACGGTCAAGAATGAAATTCCCACTCATTGAAATAGTGCTTCGAAATGTAATAAATTATAAAATGATATTTATTGTACATTAATTTCTAATTTAATTTAATTGGATACGCTTGACATTACGAGCAATATAAATTGAAGTATCGACAAGTGATTACTTAATTGGTACGTGTCATAAATAACTATTGAGTTCTCCTCATAAATCATACAGTGTTTACTGGAATTCGCACGTACTTGTAGACGTAAGGCCCGACTTCCTGAAATCGCAGCTTGCTCTCCTTGCCTGACAGATACTCCTCAGGATTCGTCACGTTGAACAAGTAGACCTTCAGGTAGAGCTCGACGTCTGGTTTCCGCCACATTTCGAATATCTCCCCGCCCGGGCCGAACATCACTTTCAACTTGAAAAGTAGCTCGTATGGTTGAAAAAAGAAGAGGATGCAACCGGTCGTGAGGCTTAGGAAGCCCAGAGTCATCAGTATGAAAATACCTGAATGATTTCAAGAAACGATACGTAGATTAGTAGTCATCTTAGAAATTGCTCGCGACGCGTCACGTTGCGGTGAACGGGCAGTCAGGGCAATTAACGGAATATTAATTTGAAGAAGCTGTTGAAGGATTTAGTGCATAAAATCGAGGAGTTCTTTAATTCGTTCCGCTACGTCCATTTCTGTTTCGCTATATTGCATCCTTATTTCAACATGATGGAATGAAGTACAGGTGGAAGAAATGATATCGGTTTCTCTATAAAAACTTTTACCAAACGATTTATACAGATGCATCACTTCTGTTGCCTTATTTAATTACAATGATTATAGTAGCATTTATAAACGATACGTACTCCTGCATTTGCATTCAATTACGTTCTAGCGTATGTAAATAAATCAATTAAAGATCGAAGATTGTTTCGCTTGATTATTGAATAATTGTTTCTTCGATTTCTACAGACAATGTTGACGATTTTCTCGTTTTTATTGAATCCGCGTTGCATAATGCTGAGTAGTAATGTTTATGATCTTGTTTCTAGTTTTTATCGAAGTATTACTAGTCGCGCGAGATTGCTTATTCATCGTATGACATTCGTAATCCCGGTAGACGCATCGCAGGCTTCGAATTATTCGGTCCCCGAATCCGCGGACTTCCGACTGCTTTGAAAATATTGCGTGTCGCGAACGGTACGTTTCGAATTTGCATGAAACATACCAGGAACACGTGGAAATTCTGGTTTTACTCTGAAATTCTTTGTTTAATAT